CTCACCTGTTTAGGGCATTGCATCTGCCATTTTTCTTGGAAATGATTTAAGTTGTATTTGAATTTTTTAGCTTTGTTTTTAACCGTCTCCAGAGCCATGACGTGGCGGGTTTTATGATGTGGCGGGTTGGGTTTTGAATTTTTTTGGGTTAAAATTAGGTGACTAGACTTTTCTGTTTGACACGTCATCAAATAACGGACTTTGTTAACAGAGGTGGACGGAGACTAACAGAGTGACCAATCGTGAAATGTTAAGCACTTCCAATGACCACGAATGGAATAAAATTCTTTTAGTGACTAAACGTGAATATTTTAGCACTTTCACTGACCAACCTTGAAATTTACCCTTATTTAAAGGCTTCAAGTTTTGCGTTGTAATTCATTGACGTTTTATCAAAGAATCCTTTTGTTCAGAGAGTTTTGTGCTCTTTAATTGTCCTTGTTGAATTATATTGATTCTAGCGACAATCGAGCTCAACATCAACTGATATCCCCCCTCAATTGTGGACGAGTTGCCTACCAAAATTGATCGAGTCTCTTCTCGAGATTGGGGTGAAGTTACACTTTCGAACCATCTTCATCTAAACCTTCTTTGTTTTGCTTCGAGAGGGTTCAACCTAAGAGAATCATTAAGGTTGTTCGTCAAAGCTCGATGGTGAGCTTATATCAAGTGACATCACGAGTTTGGTTCTACACAATGGACACGAAGAAGACGACGAAGCAGAATTTACCTATTGCTGCAAGAACGCGGGCAAAGGATCCCATCATAAAAAGAACGCCAGAGGCAGAATCCTTACCAGAGGAGCAAACCTCAATTGAAGAGGTACCAATGGCTGAAGAGAAGATCAATGTCTCCGAACTCCTCTAGACAATCATGGCACAACTAAACGTCACATTTCAGGCACAATTTGATCAGATTAATCGTCAATTGGCCGAACTAAAGACATCGAAGAGCAACCCTGTTCCAAACGAAAAAGTTGCAAAGTACGTCCCAAACCCGGAAGGCAATCGAGTTGAGACTGTCCCAACTGACGCCTTCCCAGAGCTAGATGACAGGATCCGCAATCTGGAATGAAGGCTTTTCATCGCCGAAGGAAATCTGTTGCCCGTCAACCTCGAATTTCCTGGCCATAACAATCGGCCACCGGAGGCAAGGCCAGAGGTTGCAGTGGCAGACCTCAAAGGAATTAAACTTTCGATTCCTTCCTTCTCAGGGTCCAACAATGTCTCTGCTTACTTGGATTGGGAATAATAGTTCTCTTCTTCCAATGTGGATAATACACAAGAGTCGCAGAAGTTCTCACTTGCCACCTACGAGTTTACACACTACGCGACGATGTGGTGGGAGAAGGTGCAGCTTCAACGACGAAGAAACCTCCAGCTTGCTGTGAAGACTTGGGACGAGCTGAGAAGTTTGGTGTGGGACCGATTCGTGCTTGGGTATTGCCAAAGGGAACTCTTCGAATCCCTAAAAGGAATTCGACAGGGTTCAAGATCAGTTGACGAGTATTACAAAGAGCTTGAAATGCTCTTAATGAGAGCCGATGTCCGGGAAGACAGTGAGCCCAAAATTTTGAGATTCTTGCACAGCTTGAATCGAGAAATTAGGTATGAGGTGGATCTTAGACAGTTTGGGAAACTAGACGAAGTCGTCCACCTCGCAATTAAAGTCGAAAAGCAGCTGAAACTATCCACTGGTAGGAGATACCCAACTCCAAACAAGTCTGTCCCAGAAGTTGTTCCCGGGTTAAGTTCCAATAACTCCACAACTGAGGGTGATAAACCAGCCATCCGGAACTCTACTCCAGTCCAGCAACATAAGACTAAAGGTTCAAGTGCCAACATTCAATGTTTCAAGTGCTTGAGCGGAGGGAATAAAGCCAATCAATGCCCCAATAAGAAGACCCTTGTCCTTCGTGATGGTGAGTATTACTCCGAGGAAGAAGAGGAAAGGCACATGGGAGGTTCAGTTGATTCTGATGGAGATGAGATTGGCGAGAAAATTCAGGTTGAGAACCCACCTACAGGAAAGTTGTTCGCCGTCATCAGAAGGGCCCTTATAGCTACAACTAATCTTGATTCGGACCAATGAAACCCTCTTTAATGTTATATGTGTTGTCAGTGGCCAATTGCACTAGACAATCATCAACATAGGGAGTTGTGCAAACTTTCTTAGTCTGGATATTGTTAAAAGGCTTGGATTGAGTACACTCAAGCACCCAGAACCTTACAACTTGCATTGACTCAATGATTATGGTGCAATTAAAGTTCACCGTCATGCACTCGTCAAGTTTGAAATTGGTGACTATAAGGACGAGCTCGTGGTTGACGTTGCCCTGATGGAGGCCACACATCTCCTTCTCGGCCGACCGTGGCAATTTGATCGACGAGTATGTCACTACGGGGGTACTAACTGTTACAAGATTAAACTCGATAACTAGAGCTTTGTTTTGAATCCCATGTCGTCGGTGAAGGCTCGAGTTGATAAATAGCAAATGGAAATCAACCGGTTGCTGCGAAACGGTGAGTCCAACAGTAGTAATTTGATGGCATAGAGATATATGTTGACAGAGCACAAAAAGGAGAAGATACGCAGACAAGCTCGTCTCAGACGACGCTTTCTCAACTCACCGGCGCGGCAAGAGAGAGAATGAAACGGGTGGTGGGGGAAGCACCAAGTGAAATCCACTGTGCTTAAACGTTTGTCGACACCTCAGGAACGAACTCCCTGGAAAGAATCGCTCCATTTCAAGCTGAGGTGCAAGGTCGAATTCGAGCTAAAGCGCCTCTAGTATTGGTGATAGACTAGGAAAAAATTGGTGAATTGGTTGAAGAGGTTGAGAATGAATTGACCCAATCGATCGATGCAGAGAATTCAGCAAGACCCCAGGAAGGTGTAGGATTCAAAGATTCACTCAATTCAACCCAGGATCAAAATGCCCAACTTGGGGTTGTGAATTCTGGAATTAAAGAATTTAAATTCTTCAGGTGGCGGGAAAAATTTCGAGTTCTTGTCGACTGGATTTGAGTAGAACCAACACGTTGAACAAAAAGGAATCCACTCCAGGATGTCAGGCAAAGTCGTTCCAAGGGTTCAATTGGACTCTAGAAGCTCGAATCCGAAAGCCCCAATTCGACTGAACTCGTCGGCGTTCGTCGCTAAGTTGGCGAAGGTGGCGACAATTCTGGCCATTTCTATAACGGAGATCCTGCTTGACACTAGTCGAGGAAGGGGTGAGGAAGATTATATATTTCTGGCTGTGACTGATTCGTCTCCCAGGATGCAAAGGGATGGTGACAGCAAGGAATTGAAGACTATTGTTAACTGTGTGGCGTGTGATCTTAAGTTCTTAACAACCCTTTTGGGTACCCTCCTATTCACATTTGTTTTGCAGAAACCATTAAGCTTTGAGGTTAACCTTTTTCAACAGGGAGAGCATGATGTGAGATTTTTCATCAGGTCAAGCTCAATGTGGAAGACGAGTCATGGAAAGGAGAGTAGAAATTTGTCAAAATGGTTAAGTGTGGAGGCTGTCTTGAGCAGCTCACTTTGAACTTCTATTCGACCAGCTTGAAAGCTCTTCGAGTGCAACCAGGAGCTGGGAATGAGAGTGGGAGAACTATGGAACAACGTCAAGGCATTGGGTAGCTAGTTGAATGATCCTAAGGTGTCCTACGAGGGTGTCAAAGTGGCTATGGAGGTTTTTCGATTGCTTGGGCAGTAAGGCAATTTACTTACTCTAGAAGATTGTTTGTTCTTTCCTTTTTCAAATTGGATTATGTGCTTATTGTTATATCTTAGTTTCCTTGTTTAAGTTGTAGTCAAATTAGGAGTAGAATTTATTATTTAAAGCTTCAAGTTTTGTGTTGTAATTCATTGACATTTTATCAAAGAACCCTTTTGTTCATAGAGTTTTGTGCTCTTGAATTGTCCTTGTTGAATTGGATTGATTCCATCGACAAGAGAGCTCAACGTCAATTGAATATCCCCTTCAATTGTGGATGAGTTGCCTACCAAAATCAATCGAGTCTTTTCGCGAAATTGGTGTGAAGTTACACGGTCAAACCATCTTCCTTTAAACCTTCTATGTTTTGCTTCGAGAGGGTTCAACCTAAACGAACCCTTAAGGTTGTTCATCAAAGCTTGAGGGTGCGCTTATATCACAAAGTACTTGAACTTTTGAAGCTTAGCTCGAGTTTGGATCCTCGAGATGTTTATGAAGCTTTTAGTACCGGTGCTATTTGTGATCTTGCTAGGGTTTCCTTGGGCATTCTATGCCTCCTATTCTAGGTTAGTTAACGAGCAAACCTCCTAATTCGTATTAAGCACTTAGGGTTTGGTTGTGGGTGGTCGTCCGAACTCCAATTCGAGGGTGAAGTCTAACCATTCCTTAGTCGATAGGTTGAGAGGGTCACATTAGTGGCTTGGATTATATCCCATTCCTCAACCTAGAGTCTAAGATGGTAGCTTTGGCTACTAGTTAGACTTCACTATGGTTTATGGCCCCCTAACCACACACGGTCGTTCGATTCATCAAGTTGTAATTGTTATCTAGGGGGAGCAACACCCCGGTGAAGCTTTCGCAACTAGAGTCAAATCCATTTTATCTTTGCAAAGAAATTTAGTGTTAGACCTTTGTTTTCACAAAAACCGATTCGCTAGATAATGTTTCAAACCGTCAAAGTAGCGGTACATGGACCGGCCCGAGTTGATATTTAAACATACTTTCCATATATTGCACACATCTAAGGTTTATACTTGGACCTTAGGTGGGATTTTATTGTGACAGTTAGAGCGAGTCAAGTTTTTGGCGCCGTTGCCTGGGAACAATGGTCTGTTATCGTGAAAAGTTTGTTTGGTGTTAATCTAGCTTTTAATTTCTATTTTGTTAATTTGTGAAGTGTTTGCTAGTGCTAGACATGTTGTGTTCTTTAAGTGTGTGTAGGGAGATGCATGACCCGGAGCAATCCGACACCTTTAATACCACTAGACAAGGACATCAACCGGACTTTCCGACTCTTAGCTCGAGAGACGAAGCTAGCGAAGGCAAGAAGGAGAAGTGAAGAAAGGGAACACCAAGTTGGTCCCGGATTTGAAGGATTTGAAGGATAAATTGAAGTTGAGATGGCGGCAAATCAACCTCAAGTTGCCAATCCGGCCTCGAATGCAAATGTGGAAGCGGGAGCCGAGGAAGAGCCAAGGACTATGGGCTATTACATGGCTCCACGGGCGGTGGATATCCAATCTCCCATCTTATATCCACTCGTGGCCGCCAACAACTTTGAAATCAAGCCCGCTCTCGTGACGATGATTCAGAAAAATGCCTTATACCACGGGCTTGCACATGAATCACCACGAGAGCATGTCCAAAGGCCTCTTGAGCTAGCGAGAAGTTTGAAGATAAATGGTGTTTCTGCGGAGGCATTACAATTGAGGTTATTCCTCTACTCTCTTGTGGGGAAAGCGCTCTGATGGCTCAACAACCGACCGGCTCTATCCATTACCTCTTGGGACGATTTACTCAACAAATTCATGATCCGATATTGTCCTCCTTCCAAGATGGCTGAGTGGAGGAAGAAGATCACTCACTTCAAGCAAGAGGAGGATGAGACGTTGAGGGATGCATGGGAAAGGCTCTCGGAATACTTCCTCCAATGCCCCCACCATGGGTTCGAAGAGCAATTCTTGATAGAAACCTTCTATGACAAGATCCTTATCTACTCTTTTTTTCAAGGGAGGTTGATGAACATGACCCCTCCTCAAGTCACCGAATTGCTTGAAGATATGGCTCTTAAAAGATATGATTGGGGCTTGACGAGGAGTGTTAAGAGCACCACCGAAAGAGGAGTAAGAAGTGTGGGAGTAAGTGCTCCACTTGAAGCGAAGCTTGACAAGTTGATCGAGTTAATCCTTGAGGACAAGAAGCAAGGGAAGAGAGCAGTGATGTCTTGTGATTGGTGTTCGAGCACCAATCACGAAATTGCGGATTGACAAGCCATGAAGGAGACAAGTACCCCCAAGGAGCAAGTGAGCTTCATTGCCAATGCTAGAAGGAACAAACCATATAGCAACATATACAACCCCCGGATGGCGCAATCATCCATACTTCGCTTGGTCTTCCCCGACCAATCCAAGACCTCCCGGTTTACAAGGTTTGATGGGAAACTACCAACCTCGGCCAACATTCATCCAACAAAGGCCTCAATTCTAGAAATCGAACTTCCAACAACCAAATCAAGCACAAGACGGTCAAGGGTTTCAACAACAACAAGTCGACAAGTTCTCTAAACTTGAAGACCTTGTGACCACCTTTGTGAGCACAAGCTCTCAGAAGTTCGAGAAGATTGATCAATTCATGGATTTGGCAAAATCCAAGTTTACCTCAGTTGAGGGGGGTCTCCGAAGCCATCAAACAAGTCTCCAAAACTTGGAAGTGCAATTAGCAATATTGTCGGGATCCTCACCGAGAGACAAAGGGATCCCTACCCTCTCAAACCATTGCCAACCCCGAGGATCAAGCCGGGTGCAATGCAATTTTCTTAAAGAGCAGGAAGGTGACCACGGAGGTCGTTACCAAAGAAGTGAATGAGAAGGAAGACCCTCTTCCCAAGGGTTAAGAAGAGGAAACCTCGGGAGAAAAGAGAGCAGTGGCAAAGAAGGCATTGCCGACGCCACCACCTTTGGATGAGTACACGCCACCCCTACCTTTTCCCACGAGGTTTCACAAGGAAAGATTGGAAGCGGAATGTGGAAGTTTCATGAGGATGCTCCGAGAGCTCCACCTCAACATTCCCTTCCTTGAAGCAATGACCCACATGCCAAGGTATTCAAAATACCTCAAGGGGCTTCTCTCTAAGAATCCGAAGTTCGAAGACCTCGCCAATCTCACTTTAGGCGAGGAGTGCTTAGCCTTCATCCTCAACAGGTTACCCAAGAAGCAACCTGATCCAAGTAGTTTCACTATACCTCTTTGCATCGGTTCTCATCACATAGAAAATTCCTTGGTGGACTTAGGGGCGAGCATAATTGTGATGCCATATAAGCTTTTTAAGAGGCTACACATAGGTGAACTAAAATCTACAAGGCTTAGTGTTACATTGGCCGATCGCTCATTAGTCCAAAGGGCATAGTGGAGGACGTGCTAGTACGAGTGGGGAAATTCTGTTATCCGACGGATTTTGTGATCCTGGATATAAGTGAGGATTCTGAGATGCCACTCATACTAGGACGCCCTTTCCTCACCACCGCCAAGGCATTAATTGATGTAAATGATGGAACTTTGATTCTGAGAGATGGTGAGGAGAGAATTACCCTTGGAATCGATCCTAAGCCTAGGAGTGAGGATGTGAAGAAAGTGGAACCGGGTGATATGAATGCAAGTGGAGGGAAGCCTTGCAAGGAAAACCTCGCTATTACTGTTGGTTCTTGTGATGGTGTAAAACACGAAAGCAAGGAGGGCATCTCACCCAAAGAAGGAAGGAAAGTAGCTTGGAGGGAAAGGATAAGTCTTGCTAATGCTGAGTGGAAGGAAAAGGGAAAAGAAAAAGTCACCAGCCAAGAAGGCCACCCCTAAGGAGAGTAAGTTGGGAGGCAACAAGCCTCGCCCGAGATCGTGGCGGATCCAATCTCGGGGGCATCATGTTCAAAGGCGTGAAAGATCCGCAATGTCAAGCTAGTGACATTAACTTAGCGCTTGTTGGGAGGCAACCCAACATATGTTTGTTTTCTTTTCCTTATTTTCGTTTTTGTGTGTCGAGCGAAGAGTTTAAGTGATCGAGTGGTATCCCCGTGCCAAGTTTCTGTGATTGTGTGTGTTTCGAGTTGGGCCGTGAATGATAGAAGGCACGATGGAATAGGTCGAGCATAAAATTTTCAGAAGTGCCCTGTTTTCACTGATGTTCACGGACGGATTGCCCTGTTCACGGTCTTACAAGACCGTGAAAAGGCAAACGCGTCCGTGAACCAAGGCGCTTCCACGTGTTTCAAACCCGTCGACTAACCTGTGTTCACTGACGGATTACAGTTTTCACGGTCTTAACGACCGTGAACTGGCAAACGCGTCCGTGAACTGTAGGGTCTGCCTATAAAAAGGCTGTGAACGACCGTTTTCACTTCACGACCCAAAAACTCGCCGAAATTTTTAAATCTCGTCGGAAAACAGCAAAAATCTGACGGTTTTTGCTCATTTCTCCTGTTTCTGGCGAGCCAATCCCAAAACCAAGCACATACCCAATGTTACCTCATCAAATGCGGCCTTCGCAGAGCTTTTGGGAAGATTTGGGCCAACTTTTTTCTGGCAAAGTCGCCGTCGGCAAGCTTCAACGAAGCTTCGATGACCCTTCTCCGGTCTGTTTTCGGCCAATTTTCACCTTCCTCGCCCTCACCTCACTTCCTCCTACATCCTACTTAAGACTCCAAGTTGGTTTTCAGCTCTATCTTATTTATTTTGGGAGAATCGGATTAGGTAGTGAAGTGATGAGAATTTTAGTGAATTGAGTGTTGAACTTAGACTTAGGGCGAGGAATTAGGTCAATTAGGATAATTGAATGGTTGAATGATTTTGCATGAGCTTAGTTGAGCCTTGGTGGTCATGTTTTGATTCGAATTGCTTTTATTTGTGAAATTTGCCCACCAAGTGCTAATTTTTTAATTGAACGAGAAATGTTTATGCTAGAGTGGTGGTTGGTAGCCACAGTGGCATGGTTCGGTTTTTTATTTTTGTGTGGATATTTCGTGAACACCTAGAACCATGCCACGGTGTGTTTGAGCTTAAGTGTTTGAAAAGCATTGATCCATATTGGAAATATAAGTGTGGGGGGAATTCTATTTTCCTCCCAATGAGTTGTGATTGACAATTATTTCCATGTATGGTGCATGTTTGTCTTTTTGCAGGATGCTTAATGTGGAGCATGAGTATGTGAGCTACTTGGTGAACCACCCACGATTCGCGACCAAGTTTGCTTACCAACGAGACAGCCCGATTGGGCCACATTGGCGGCTAGACCTGGACATGTTTAACTTGTTCAGGTGCCGAGCCGCAATGTCAGGGGTCGCCTGTCATCCACAGTGGCGCCAACAGTTGTCTTTGGACGAGCTCATATATCACGAGAGCTGTGTGGAGTTCTACTCCACCTTCGCCCACATCGTCCCGACCGGAAAGAAGAGTCAGCCATATGTGGAGGTTTTGCTGGGAGGTCAGCCACGGGGGCTGACCTACGATGCATTCGACAGGCTATGGGGCTCGACATGATGTACATGACGATGACGGAGTGGCAGTACAGCACATAATTCCATTACCATGCCGCATTCTAGGCCCTCTACCGCTCTGAGCACGAGCAGGACGAGTTCGAGGCTGGTTGCACCAATGCGGTGAAGTTGAGGACCCCGTGGAGGATCATGCACACACTTCTAACTAGATCCTTCGTCCCCAGCTCGCAGTCGGGCCACCTGATCATAAACAGAGGGCTGCGCGCTCTCTTCTCCATGAGGCATCCAACAGAGCTGATCCATTTGGATCCTCAATTGCCACCTCTTTCGCCCGGTTCCTGGGGCGAAACAGGGTATACACCATGCATATGGGGGCATCATCACGAGAATATCCGCCACTTCGGAGTTGATATGGAGTGGTGCTCCATCGTCGGGCGGGCCGAGCCCTTCCTAGTGGCGACGCTCTACAACCAGAAGCTAGTGCTTCAGGGGGAGAGGGGTCGAGTAACAAGAAGCTAGTGCTTCTAAACTCATGCGAGCAGCAGTTGACCCGACTCCATTGGATCCTGATGCAGAGGCCCCACCTCTAGACCAACCACCTGCTCGAGCTCCCGGGCACCGCCGGCGTCCCGCGCTCCAGCGCCCAATGCCACCATCACCAGCAGCTGCAGGATCATCCAGGGCCGGACCATCCACAACCGGTGATCCCCTCATCCAGAGGATGGATCTCCTTGAGAGCCACGTCGTGGGATTGACTTCCCAACTCGACCGGCAGACCGACCTGCTTGAGTAGATGGCTCGTCGCTAGGGCCACCTCCCAGATGAGGATGTCGGACCTTCGAATTGAGAGAGGTAGCCGACGAGGGAGATATGTGGCAGAGTCGATTCCTTTCTCCCTACTACTCTACTTGGAACTCTGGACTCTTTTGTTTTATTTTTCTTTCTTTTAATCTATGTGTGTGATCATAAACTACTACTATCGTATTGTGATGTGTAATAACCTCACTTCGAGTGAGTCGTATTGTGATGTGTAATAACTTACTCAACACTTAATGATAAAAAATAGCTTATGAATTCATAGAATCATGGCTCAATAGCTCGCAAAGTTCTCGAGCTATTAAAAATATTGATATAGAAAATTGATTTCGTAGTTGATTGTAATTTTCTCCTTTAATATTGACTTTCTAAATCCATCTAATAATGTTTAGTAGAGACTTATATGTCGACTTACTCCATTGACATGTTCTAGTATCTAATTAGGCACGAAACCCCTAGGCGAGGTGTTTTGTCACTGCCTTGCCACTAGGCGTAAGATTAAGTGTGCATTTTTGAACCATGGCTCCAAGCAAAGTTTGCATGATCAAAGTGGCCGGTTTGTAGGAGAATCTCGTGTTTATTGGCATTGACCTTGAATTGTTGCATGTGATCGAGTGTGTCTTATGATGATGATTGAGAGGTGCATTAAGATAGTGCAAAAGTTCAGTTCTCATGTGTGCGAAAATGAATGGATGTCTTTACTCGATTACTTATTGAATACAATTACCATGCATTGTGTTTTGTGAAAGTGGAATGGATGATTGGGTGACTAGGTAACCATGTGAGTTTTGAGCCGATCGTTTTATTCTTGTGTGCTTAGATCCCTCTTACCATGGCGAGTAACATCACAGTTGTCACTAGCGAGTATGATGGATCCATAGGATTAGTCCACGCCCAAATGTTGATTGTCCTGAAATGCTTTATCCCCTAGTCAACCCCTTTGAGTCTTGTGACTTTGGGGGTCGTTCTCATGTTAGGAGCTTTTTGCTTGTGAGCTTAATGGTGTTTGATAGAGCGACCCGCATCCTTTCTTCGTGTCTACACGTGTGTCGTCCTTGTGACTCGGAGCTCTCACTTTTGAGTTCCATTGAGGTTCTACATAGGAGGATTGTGTGCAGTTCTTGCAAGGAATGAAAGAGAAAAGAGTAGTGTTGGAGTGAGATCATAAAAAAGAGCATTGGTCGTTAA